TACAGATATGCATTAGTTTAGATTGAGTTTTGTGTGTTTTTCTGTGTGTGTTGTGTGTATCTTGTGTGTGTAGTAACGTCCTTCCTCTCCATTCTATGTACAATATGTGGCAGTGTCTGTGGAAATGAATCTTCCTCAGGGGACAATAACGTCTGTATCTATGCATGTGTGTGGCTGTTCCGGAGGTGGGATTAGACGCAGAAAATACCCTCAGAAAAGACCATTTCATTTATTTATCTTATGTCTTGTTTTAAACTTAAAGGTGGCAGGTCATTGGAGCCGAAAACAGCTGCGAAGAGAGTCGTTGTGTCTTTGTGATATTTTCATGACCCTGTATGGTCTGGAGCAGAGCTATACAACTCGCGGCCTGGGGGCAGATTCAGGCCAGATGATAATATATATTCTGGCCCACAGACTACCGTACACTTAAGAAAGATTTATTGAATTCTAATTTAGGTCTAGTTCAAATCCAACCTTCTTTGGAAATCAATTGGAATATCTCTAACCTGGTCGTACCACACCACAGTACAAATTACAATTCATACTAAATGAGCTCCGTTAAACGTTTCAATCGTTTTGCAGATGGAAACGATTGGATCTGAGTTTACCGTCACGTATGCAATGCAACCGAGTGAGTTGTTAGCATTTAGCATTTAGCCTAGCCATCTCCTTTGCTGCTAACGGAGCCCGTGGGGAGTAGCGCCACAATCTTTGTCAGCGATTATATTTGCTAAACATTCCTCTTGCTCCGGCTTCAGTTTCTTGATAGAACCAAACCGGAATACTTTACTATCACATTCTTCGCCAAACTACAACCTGCCCGTTTGGCGCAAACTCTTGACGTCACCCACAACTAACTACAACACCCGCCTCCCTCTGCTCTCTGATTGGTCAGACCGAATTCAACCAATTGTAATCGCAAACCCAGGGACCAGACCCAGACGTTACATGCAGTGAAATGATGATTGAGCAGAGTGTACAGATGGATAAAGCAGGTTTAAATATCCCCCGATCAAGAGGGAAATTTGCAGTAATCGCTGAAAGATATTTTCAAAGCACTCAATTTTGATTCTGTTTCATGTTATTTGCCATTTGTAGAAAACCACATTGGAATAATGGTGTAACAGACAAGTACACAAATACATAAATACATACATGGCAAAATACATATTTGTCCTGCATCTCAACTAGAGGGAAGAAGCTGGAACATGCTTTTCCAGGGGCCAGAATTCTAAAATACAGTTTTATTCAGCCATAACCTGTATATACTGCTAATATTATGCAGATCACAGTCACCACATGTATTGTCTGCTGCAAAGTGAAAGTGTGCTATTGTGTGTGTGTGTGTGTGTGTATGTGTGTGTGTATGTGTGTACTTGAGCTTGTTAAACGCTGCTCTTGAGTAATGCCACCGGAGCCGGCCTGGTGTGTGTTACCCGCGTTGCCGGTGTGTGTTACCGTAACCGGAGCTGCCCCCGAGCAGCTGAAGCCTCCTCCCCCTGCGCTACACACACTGGCTCCTAAAGCAACACAAACACACAACCCAGGTCCGTGGGGAAAACCTACACTTAATACACTTCAAATGGGTTAAACGGATTATGGAAGGGCCGTGTGGCAGATCTCGGGTGAAAGTCAAAATCTAAATGTTTTTTGTGTTTTGTGTGTTTTCATTATTGATTGACTGCGGAACCTTCCGCAGTCAACCATTGGTTTTGTATTTCTTTATTCCGTCATTTTGATTGATTGACTGCGGAACCTTCCGCAGTCAACCATTGGTTTTGTATTTCTTTATTCCGTCATTTTTTTTGACACGTTTCACAGCTTTCACATTTTCAACAATTTCCACAAGTTATACATCAAAACGTTCCACATGTTTGGGAGATTATTGCTATTACTTTTGGGACTTCAGCGATTTCCGGTTTTTCCGCAATCGGACAAAAATCTGCATTGAGAATTCTGCAATGCATTTTAATAGGCCCATGCATTTTAATAGGACTTCAGCTCTTTCAGACATTTCTACAGTTTCAATGATTCAACAGTTTCAAGGATTCAACAGTTTCAAGGATTTCAGCAGTTTCAAGATTTCAAGAGTTTCAAGGACTTCAACAGTTTCAAGGACTTCAGCAGTTTCAAGGACTTCAGCAGTTTCAAGGACTTCAGCAGTTTCAAGGACTTCAGTGTAATTATGCAACCTAATAGGGATTTTTCCATGTAAACCAGTATAATGCAACTTAATAGGGATTTTTCCATGTAAACCAGTATAATGCAACTTAATAGGGTTTTTTTCATGTAAACCAGTATAATGCAACTTAATAGGGTTTTTTTTTCATGTAAACCAGTATAATGCAACTTAATGGGGATTTTTCCATGTAAACCAGTATAATGCAACTTAATAGGGGTTTTTACATGTAAACCAGTATAATGCAAATTAATAGGGTTTTTTCCATGTAAACCAGTATAATGCAACTTAATAGGGATTTTTCCATGTAAACCAGTACAATGCAACTTAATAGGGATTTTTCCATGTAAACCAGTATAATGCAACTTAATGGGGATTTTTCCATGTAAACCAGTATAATGCAACTTAATGGGGATTTTTCCATGTAAACCAGTATTATGCAACTTAATAGGGATTTTTCCATGTAAACCAGTATAATGCAACTTAATAGGGATTTTTCCATGTAAACCAGTATAATGCAACTTAATGGGGATTTTTCCATGTAAACCAGTATAATGCAACTTAATAGGGGTTTTTACATGTAAACCAGTATAATGCAACTTAATAGGGTTTTTTCCATGTAAACCAGTATAATGCAACTTAATAGGGTTTTTTTCCATGTAAACCAGTACAATGCAACTTAATAGGGATTTTTCCATGTAAACCAGTATAATGCAACTTAATGGGGATTTTTCCATGTAAACCAGTATAATGCAACTTAATGGGGATTTTTCCATGTAAACCAGTATTATGCAACTTAATAGGGATTTTTCCATGTAAACCAGTATAATGCAACTTAATAGGGATTTTTCCATGTAAACCAGTATAATGCAACTTAATGGGGATTTTTCCATGTAAACCAGTATAATGCAACTTAATAGGGGTTTTTACATGTAAACCAGTATAATGCAACTTAATAGGGTTTTTTTCCATGTAAACCAGTATAATGCAACTTAATAGGGTTTTTTCCATGTAAACCAGTACAATGCAACTTAATAGGGATTTTTCCATGTAAACCAGTATAATGCAACTTAATGGGGATTTTTCCATGTAAACCAGTATAATGCAACTTAATGGGGATTTTTCCATGTAAACCAGTATTATGCAACTTAATAGGGATTTTTCCATGTAAACCAGTATAATGCAACTTAATAGGGATTTTTCCATGTAAACCAGTATAATGCAACTTAATGGGGTTTTTACATGTAAACCAGTATAATGGAACTTTATAGGGGTTTTTACATGTAAACCAGTATAATGGAACTTAATAGGGGTTTTTACATGTAAACCAGTATAATGCAACTTAATAAGGATTTTTACATGTAAACCACTATAATGTAACCTAATAGGGGTTTTTACATGTAAACCAGTATAAAGCAACTTAATAGGGATTTGTACATGTAAACCAGTATAATGCAACCTAATAGGGATTTTTCCATGTAAACCAGTATAATGCAACTTAATAGAGATTTTTCCATGTAAACCAGTATAATGCAACTTAATAGGGATTTTTCCATGTAAACCAGTATAATGCAACCTATTACGGATTTTTCCATGTAAACCAGTATAATGCAACCTAATAGGTTGCATTATACCACCAGACCAAGACCCAAACGAAGACTCAGACCACCACCAGATAATGACCACAGACCAGGTTTCCTTAGTTACAGGAACCAAATTGTTTCAGCGGTGAGGGGATTTTTCAGTTTCAAGGACACTTTCAATACATTCAGTAGTTTCAAGGATTTCAACTGTTTAAGAATTTAACCAGTTTCAAGGATATCAGGAGGTTCAAGGATTTCAGGAGTTTCCACACTTTCAACAGTTTCCAGGTTTAAAAAAGTTTCAAGGATTTCAGGAGTTTCAATGTTTCAACAGTTTCAAGGATTTCAGGAGTTTAAAGGTTTCAACAATTTCAAGGACTTCAGGAGTTTCAAATATCTATCAAGTATTTTAACAGTTTCAAGGCCTTTTAAAGGATTTCAAGGATTTTTTTTAGCAGATTTCCACATTAGATCTGTTCCGCAGTCAATCGCAATGGCTTCAGCCATTGCAAGTTTCTAGTTACTACTGTTGTTGTTTTACCTTGGACCCGGGCATCTGTGCTTTGAAAAATATTTAACATTATTCTTCTGTATTTTATTGTTTCTTATTTACTAATTTTCAGTCCATATTTGGTCGTGCTCCAGGTCGCAGGAAGACACAATTTATTGATTTGAACAAAAAATAAACATTGCATTAAAAGCAGAAAGAAATTGTCACCACTTTGTCACAGGTCCAGGTTCTGATCCAGATTCTGATCCAGGTTTTGATCCAGATTCTGATCCAGATTCTGATCCAGATTCTGATCCAGGTTTTGATCCAGATTCTGATCCAGATTCTGATCCAGGTTTTGATCCAGATTCTGATCCAGATTCTGATCCAGATTCTGAACCAGATTCTAATCAAGATTCTGATCCAGATTCTGATCCAGATTCTGATCTAGATTCTGATCCATCTTCTGATCCAGATTCTGATCCATATCCTGATCCAGATTCTGATCCAGATTCTGATCCGGATTCGAATCAAGATTCTGATCCAGGTTCTGATCCAGATTCTGATCCTGATACTTACTGTTGCACTTGTCTATAGTAGTCGTTTAAAACAATTCTAGAAAAACATTTTGTATGCATGCCTTATATTTACTTTTACTTTAGTGACAATGGCATTAAAAGTCTGATTCTGAGTCTGATGCTGTAGAAATATTGTTTATATGTGTACAGCCTCTTCTCTTTCCACTTATATGTCATCTCTCATGGTTCCTCTCATGGTTCTACTCATGGTTCCTCTCATGGTTCTACTCATGGTTCCTCTCATGGTTCTACTCATGGTTCCTCTCATGCTTCTACTCATGGTTCCTCTCATGGTTATAGTCATGGTCCAGGCCCACAGTCGTTGGGTTTTGCAGTCGTGACCTTTGGTGGTTTATGACAGTTTTCTATGAATGAAAGAGTGAAGTCTTTCTCAACACCACGACGACTGATCGGATCTGATTACAACACCGTGGTCATGTGACAAGTGGAAATGGCTGGACAGACTTTTATATCTCTGAGATTTCCACATCCAGCACCGGCTTCCTCTCCCGGTTAACCACTGCCGCAGCCGGGAAGCTCTGATTGGTTCGGCTCACGGACAGTGGCCACTTATTTAGGAGACAGTAACCACAATCGCAGTGTCATCAGGACTGTGTGATTTATGAGCAGGCAACCGGACTGCCCTCCCGACTCCCCCCTGAGGACCCCCGCCTCAGGAAACTGCAGAACACTCACACTTCTAGTAAAGTGGAAGTGACTGAGGCCATGGCAGTTTTGTACACACCGACAAAAAAACACCAGATGTAACAGTTGAAATATATCTCGGTGACCAGAAAACGGACGAGAAAAACAAGACAAAAGTGAAAGAAGCCAAGTCCAGATGAAACGGTGACTTAAAATAACTCACCAGGCGACCAATCAGGAGCTTTTGTGGTCCACATTTTACACCAATTAAGTCCACTAATTTTAAAGTATCCTAAAGATGTTTTTTGCACAATATAGCCCCGTTTCCACCAGCCCTACTCTACTCCAATTGGACGACTGTTAGTACCTGTTTAGTCCTGGTTTGACTGGACTGACTGTGATTGGTCAGAGTGCTGCTGGAAGCCATGGTTACGGAGAGATTTCCACGGATACTGGTTTGTTATGGGTACAGTAGGTTGCAGAGATACGGTACCAGATCCAAAAAGAGTAATGGAAACGCAACCAGGTAGAGCTGAGTCGAGCTGAGTAGGGCCAAGTTCTCGTTTAAAACATTGAGGATTTATGACATCACAGTGTATAGTGTGTTGTGTTGTCGAGAGGCGTCTGAGTGCGGGATAATTCCAACAAAATCCAATAATTCTCTTTTCCCCCTTATCTAGGCACACTTTTCCGAAACCAGGAGACAGTGAGTGACTCATGGTGTCAAACATGAATGTTGTGGTTGTGCCAGGCCTTTTCCTCACCCCCACAGCCCACTCCTCTCCCACATTGACCACACACTGGACACGCTGGACACAGTTCTGACCCAGAGCCAAAGTCCCTTCAGACCAAAGGGCTCTGATCACAGGGACTCCCCCGTCCTCTCCGCCGCGCTGAGACGTTGACGTTTTGACACCACTGATTGACTAAGAGCTCCGCCATGTCAGGAGGAAGTGGGATGCTTTTGGAGGGGAGGGGGAGGATGGAGGGGAGGGGGGGATGCACAGCCGTTTGCGTTTCTGAGAAAAGTGAACTTGTCTCACCCCCAGAGACAGATGAGCAACGATTGTGGTTTAAGGACACAAGACTTTCTCAGGCTTTTCAAAGGAATCCCATGTGACGGTTGTGCCACGGCATCGCGGTGCTTCTAATAAACATTTCTTCAACAACTGTTTGTGGTCCGTAAAAGTACAGCGTTTGTACAATACATTCATTTTTAAAGTCAAGCCTGTGGCAAAGGCCTAAACACAGGTACATTCAAATCCAGGCTTATTGTGAGTCCATGCGGCAAACCAATAGGCTTTCTTTCTCTTGTTGTTAGACCTATGTTCTGTGCCTTGTCTGCCCATTCCACTGCATATTTACACTTTTGGATTGATATTGTTGTACAGACTTCACTCTTTGTGTATCGCGGGCAGAAGGCAACTAGCAAGAGGCTATTATTATAACAAAACAAGACAGATAGAAGTGAAATGTGCCCGACAACACGCACTGTTAAAAACTTATGTGAAACAAATAAGATGGAGGCCTGAAACGTGATGAGAAATCAAAAACAGAAGAATATAAATAAAAGATGTAGGGAATTGTTTTTGGGAAGCCAGGTCCCTGTATAATAAGTGTCCATGGATTGAAAAACGTATGTAGTAATTCCAGTGAGTGAGCAAAAACTGAAAAAACTAAATTTCAGACTGAGGTAACAAAAGATTGGGTTTGAATCCTGTCTGTGTCCGTTGGCAAAGTGTCCTGTTGATGTGGAGACATGTGGAGGCCTGGTCCAGGTAGCTCACAAAAGGGAAGAAGGTTGATAACTACTGTGATGGGAGACCTCTGGGAGCTTTGGTAATTTTCTTCAACACCAGTTCCATATCTGGGGGCGACAGTAGCTCAGTTGGTAGAGCATTGGCCTTTGGGCCTGAAGGTCGTGGGTTCAAGCCCACCATGAGACCTACTTCACGACTCCCACTGATGACTGCTGTCGTTGTGTCCTTGGGCAAGACACTTAACCCCACTTTGCCTGAAGCTCCCACTGAAAGATCTCAGCTCCTGTGGACTCACCACCTGCAGGAGGATCAGTGAGGGGCTGGTGCTATGTGTACTGGGTGCAGCTCTGACTGCCACCCCCCCGACCCAGAGATGGATTAAGGGGAAGAAAATGGATGGATGGATGGATGGACAGTTCCATATCTCTGTTTGTGCATCTTGAAAAGTCGTTCATTGTCATTTTTATAACACTCTGTAAACTTCCAGATCCATTGGGCAACAACTTTCACCGCTGCTCGGCCAGATTTCTGCAGACAACACACTTTGACTCACAACAGAATAATGCCAAGTGTCTGAGCGTTAGCCTCAGTCCTCGTTGTACAGCCTGAGTCGTGGATCTATGGCCTAACTCTTCAGGGCAGCGCATCTCTCTCTCAATACTGGTCTCCCTGAGGTTTCTCACTTTTCCCCCTGGTATCCATGATGCGTCTCTTGCGCAGATGTCGGCGAATGTTTGAAAGACGCAGTGAAGACACGGAGTCGTCCTTGAGAAGCTTTTAAAGACGAGCGGTGATGTGGCGTGAGCTCCCATCATGCATCGCTCCATTTCACCGCAGAATCCTTGTGAACTCTTCGGCATGTCGAGCCATAAAGTGCCGCTGCGGTGGGGCCTTCACACTCGGCTCTCAAGGGCCCCTCACACTGCTGCGTTCAGGCCGAGGTGTGAAGACTATCACTAAGTTCCTGTTCACAGCTGAGAACATGGGACACATATAGAAGTGGTCACGAGTGGTCATCCAAGGACAGCCAGGATTCATACGTATACATTACATACATTACACATACATTTATACATGTAGTGAGGATGCAGGGGATTCTCAGCATCTCTGTCCGACCAGAAAGACATAAACACCTCATTGTTAATGTCCTGCAGGGAAAACCCAGTCGTACAGAACACTGTTGCCACATTCTCGTTTATTACAGAGCAGGAAATGCTTCAGAGTCAGATTCATTCACAAAGATACAGGTCAGCATTCAGACAGAACATCTCGCCGTAGACATTTAGTGCGATTAAACAAACTGTCGCGCTCTTCATTTTAGATCAACACTGAATATAGTTTAAAATCTATAATTATCTGAAGAAGGTCCTTTATTCGTCCCACAATGGGGAAATTTCCTTTTGATGCATACACACACATCAAGGCAAGCAGCAAACAACACTTATGCACTCCTTACAGGCAAAGTGTCTTGCCCAAGGACACAACAACGACAACTGAGGCTGCAAAGTGCTATAAGGCAAGACACATAGTTACAGATGGTCAGTCTGTCCCAGGGCAGCTGTGGCCAGATATAGTCATTTGTGTGATGAATTAATTATGCAAAAAGTCGTACATTGTCATTGTAACTGGGTTTGTGAAAAGTGCTGTATAAATAAAGCGCATAAAGGGCACAGCTAAAGTTTGAAGTTGCTGCTGAGAAACATATCGGACATTTATGAAGCTGTAAAAATCAAACAAAACTACAGCTGAAAAGGTTCGATAGAAGTTCGAAGAAGTTTCAGACTCTGCTCCTGACTCCATCACATCATGAGAGTTGTTGCATCATGTTTAGTTTCCCAAATTTGCAGAAACAGCGACACGTGCAGTCTTTTGTGTGACCTCTCCCCATTGTGACCTACAAGTAAAAAAGAAAAAGCACAAGTGGCAATTTTTCATTTTTATAGTTCCATCCTTCAGCCTTCTACGCACTGTCGATTCTTCCAGGACCCAGCCTTCTCCCGGGTTTCGACCCTGAGAAGTGTCGTGTCCTTCCCAAGATCAAAAATATAAGGAAAGCATATTAAAAAGGGGTTTAAGGAGAACGGAAAAATGGCTCCCGAAAGTGCTCTTATGTCTGACGGAGTAATTGACATGTTATGAGCGAGGCTTTAACTGGAGCAGACTGAGGCCGTTCAGTTAAAAGCAGCAGCAGCTTTTACTACAACTCAATATTTTAAATAGTCTAAGCTGATCAGATTCACAACATGACTCACTACTGCTCATGAACACAAATATTCTGATCACATACCTCTTCCCCCCAGACAGGTAAATGGAAAAGCACAACTTGGTGAGAAAAATCAGAGCAGTTTAAGTTAAAAGTTTACTTCATTATAATTAGTATCTTGGTTTTGTACAGCAGCTTTAAAGATTGAATTGTTGAAATAGGCACAGGATCAAAACATTGGAGCCATGATTTAAATACATAATCCACCAATTACACTATTTTTTTTATCAAACCCCCAAATGTGTAGAGGCATTTTTTTGGGTTAACACTTTCAGGATCTAAACCAGGGTTCAGGTTCTTATGGCTCTTTTGAGGATTGTATCCATGTTTCTCAGACAAATCTCAGCAGGCATTAAACAGTTTTATGCACTGGATTTCTTCAGAATAAAAAGAGTAAAACAAATCTCAATTCTCTCACTCACTCTCTCTAAACAAAAATCATTACTCTCAAATTTGTTGATCTTGTAAAAAAAAAAACACACACACACATTTACTGTAAAGAAATCAAAATGTTCATTCATTTTCTACCGTGTTATTAGTCCATTTCTGGGTTGGGGGGCGGGGGGGTCATAGCACCAGTCTCTCGCTGATCCTCCGGCTTCTCCGTCAGCGCTGACACAACCTTGGTTCAAAATGTACGTCTCCCAAAGAAACACTTTAACAGACTTTTGGCTCTCGGCTCAAAAGGTTCCCAACTTTGATCTAAACTAAATGTTTGAACAAAGGAATAATTGAGCTGTAATGTAATGGTTCTAATCTAAACTGCTACTTTTTATGCTGGAGTTAGAGATTTTATTTTATTTTAATTTAGAGATTATTATTAATTTATCTTTTGTTGTGTGCTCCTCATTCCTACTGTTCTGTAACTTGTGATGCAACACTGTGGGACAAATAAAGAATCTCTTAATCTATAACGCACAAATGTTAGTCTGACGGGCACATCTCAGACTGTCAGTTTACCCAGAGTTTTTGGACTTTTTCTCATTCATTTTCAAAGCGTGACAGAAATACACACTTCCCACAAACACAACACGAGATAAAACAAAAGGAAGAAGCCGTGGTAGAAAACAAGAGTTCAGCTTTAATTCATCCAGCCTCAGCATACTGCACACAGTATATCACATCCCAATGACACTTTTGATTTGCACATATCACAGTTTAAAGTTCAAATCAAAAACAACACAACTATGAAAAGGACAAACGCACACACAAAATTAAAACCTATAAAAAATATATATAAAAAAACAGTACTCTTAATCTTACATCGACCAGTACCATTTCAATAACAAAACATTTAATGCACAATTGAGCAGACAAATTCAACGGAGTTTTCTTTTTAAATTATCACCATGCGTTATGTCATCTTAAATAACGAAAATAATATATACTTCTCTATATATCTCTCTCTCTCTCTTTTAAATGTATTTTTTCAAGTGGAGCGCTCCTGTCCCTTTTGCGCAGGGATGGAGTCGCTCGGAGACACCAGAGGGTCCGGGGCGCTCACGATAGCTGCCGTCTCAGCCCCACGTACAGAAAGCATCTCGGAGACGTCTTTACGGCACCGGCAAAAGACGTCTGGGAATAATGGCAGTAGCATTTTGCATGACATCACTGGACGGAGAGGGAGGCTTTTTGGCTTTCTCTCTCTCTCTGTCTTCTCTCCCTCTGTCTGCCCGTCTCTGCCTCTCTCACTCCCTCTCCGAAGCAGTTAAGAGTTAAATTTTTAAAAAAGCAAATAGACATTCTGTGCAGCGACATAAAAGTCAAGACAGTGGCGTTCCCCTGGGAGCAGTAGTCGGACCGTTACTACTTTGACTTTTCCTCCTACTGCAGCATGCTCTTGATGGTCTTGTTGGTGGATTCGTCGTTTAGATGTTTGGTCGTGTACCTGCGGTGACAACAAAAGCACAAAGTCAGCCTCGAGATGTCTTAATATCCTCATTGAAATTCAGCAGCAGCAGCAGAGAGGTGGCTATAGATAAATACAGGCGTTCACATACGGCCCCGGGGAAAATGTGTGTAATGTTCCAGACGCCTCGTGAATTTACTTTAGGAAGCCCAAAGAAGAACGGGCCCAGCGTTGACTTGTAAAGCCGAGGGAAAACGCTTGTGTGGGAGATCTTTTTATGCATGTTATTGATCGAGGCACTGAAATAAGATGCTAAAGAGAAGTGGAACGAATGCAGCGATATCGGCACATTTTAATGCCTTTTCGTTTAAGCCGTTTAAGTGAGCCGTAGCTGTTTAAAGTGTGGGTTGAATCACAAATGTCATGGTACGAGCTGTGGCGTTAGCGTGCTAGCTGTTAGCAGTGGTGCGAGCAGTGGTGGAGCAGTGGTGCTCCAGCCGCTAAAAATTTGTGACTTTTGCCTCAACGTTGATAAAGAACATTAGAAAGAAGATTGTATTGGGCCTGCTTCTATCTGCTTCAAAATCTTAAAATGTTTCGTTTTTTATGTTCAAATTGATGCAACTTAAGCTGTATGATTGAAAATACATAATTTGAATACCTGGTTCTATGGGTTTTTTAATTATTATTATGTATAGGCAGCAAGAGGAGATTCCAATAGACTAGAATGGACCAATAGGGAGACAGCCAACCTTTCCATCAACAATATTTACTCATTTTGTCCATCCCATACTTGTAAGATACCTTGCGAGTCACTATTTTGAAGCTTTGGGCAGAGAACTGATTCACTTTTCTGTCTGAAAAAGCTGATCCGAAGCCAATTATACAGTACATGAATGTGAAACCGAAACTGTTTTAGAGCCAGGTACATGGATTTTATTACATGGTTCTAGTCTTTTGTCATTTAAAAGTTGGCCACACCAACTCAGCGTTAGTTTGTGGTGTGACTTGGTGTGCTTGAGTAATAGTCAGTTAGCTAGACACACATGTTATTTACAGTCACATAGCCACATTCTGAACATGATCAGAATATCGTAAAATCCCCAGAGTAGAAGCCGGCGGTCGTGTGCACTGGATGAAAGTGGCGCAGACACCGGAGGTCGCCCTTATCAGCCGGAGCAGCTGTGGGCGCCCGGGACAGCCAGCTCCGATCAGGGCCGAGTGGACGGTTGGATTTGGGGTGTCAGATGTAATGGTCCCGCGCGAGAAGGCTTTGACGGCCAAACGCTCTCCGCTCACAGATGAGAGGAGCGCTGGTGGAGTGTGAGATGATTCACACCAGCTCCGAGTGCTGCACATCACTCAGCCGCTGTCCGCCTGCAGACTCCGGACGAGCAGAGGAGAGGGAGAACCCAGGGCGGGGGGGGGTCCAGGGTTGTGTTTTTAGACAGTGATGATGTGGGAGGGAAGCCATTCGACCAAGCAATGATTGTAAATGATTCAGATTCAGTTTATTTGCCATTTGCAGTAAAACCACACTGGAAAAACTGTGCAAGACTCCCCCCAAGTACACACCAAAGCTCATGTGTCAGAGTCATGTTGGGTCATTCAAATAATAAAATCGCAAATGTCCCGGTGTGGATTTGGATGTACTCGGTGTAACTTTTTAGTGCACATTTTCTGTTTCTTTAAATCAGGGATGTCAAAACGGTCCTTAAAAAGGGCCAGGTGGCTGCAGGTTATCATTCCAACCAAGCAGGGGCACACCAGACTCCACCCATTTCCTCAAGTGTGTCCCGTCTGAACTTGTAGACTTGAGGTTGGAGTGAAAACCTGCAGCCACGACTACACTCTCTGGAACCGGTTTGACAGCCCTGACTTTAAACCCTCAACCCCTCACAATCCCACCTGAAGAGTCGTGATCACACATTGTACCTGAGAGCGTTGAGAAGGCCTTCCACACTGTTCGGCGGCTGCTCTCTGAGGACTTTGATGCAGCCTTTCATCTGTGGAGCAAACGCCAGGTGAAGACAAGTCCCAGAGCAAAACCATGAACAAAGAAAGCAGTTTAGACATACATCGATTTTTGACGACTTTGCGAACGCTCCGACCGGATGCACGTAGTCGTAGAGGATGATGACTCCCACCATGACCCGCAGACAGAAGGAGACCGTCTCATCGCTGCTGAATCGACTCCGGTACTCGCTGTAACAAAAGTTATAAATCTGCACATTCAGTATAAAACAATACAAGTCAATAGAAACCTCAGTCATTGTGATATAACATGAAGAAATACGGGGAAAACAAATTCACTGATAAGCTAATTAGTGAACCCTAACTTAAACCCTTGCCCTCACCCACATGGGAAAGTGTCTGAGGAAATAAGGACTATTAAGTGCTTAAGAAATATCAATTTAGAGATATTCATAAATTTAGAGATATTCATAAATTTAGCTGTTAATTATTTGTGACTACGGAAACAAAGCAGACAGAGGACACACAACAAGAAAGACAAAACAAAGACAATTTGGAACAGTAAGTTGAGCCAGACCAAGCTTTTAAAGTGATCAGTAAATCTAAAAATCAATTCTAAAAACGCAAAGAGCCAGTGGAGGATGCTAGAACAGGGGTGATGTGCTCCCTTCTGCGGAATCCAGTGAGAAGTCTGGCTGCAGCGTTCTGACCAGATAAGACAGATAGAGATCGATAGAGAGACAGATGGGGAGAGATGGACAGACATATGGAGAGACAGAGAGAGATGCAGAGACAGAGAGGAATAGAGACAGATGAAGAGTTAGATGGGGAGTTAGATAGGGAGAGATGGACAGATATATTCAGTAGAGAGATGGATAGAGAGACAGATGGAGAGATACAGTAGGTAGGGAGAGATAGACAGATATATAGAGAGACTGAGACAGAGACAGGGAGATACAGAGAGAGATGCAGAGACAGAGATGGACAGAGAGAGATGGACAGAGAGAGATGCAGAGACAGAGAGAGATGCAGAGACAGAGAGAGATGCAGAGACAGATAGAGAGAGATGCAGAGACAGAGAGAGATGGACAGAGAGATGCAGAGACAGAGAGATGCAGAGACAGAGAGATGAACAGAGAGAGATGGACAGAGAGAGACGCAGAGACAGAGAGAGATGCAGAGACAGAGAGAGACGGACAGAGAGAGATGCAGAGACAGAGAGATGCAGAGACAGAGAGATGGACAGAGAGAGATGGACAGAGAGAGATGCAGAGACAGATATAGAGAGAGATGAACAGAGAGAGACGCAGAGACAGAGAGAGATGCAGAGACAGAGAGAGACGGACAGAGAGAGATGCAGAGACAGAGAGATGCAGAGACAGAGAGATGGACAGAGAGAGATGGACAGAGAGAGATGCAGAGACAGATATAGAGAGAGATGAACAGAGAGAGATGCAGAGACAGATATAGAGAGAGATGGACAGAGAGAGATGCAGAGACAGAGAGAGAGATGGACAGAGAGAGATGCAGAGACAGATATAGAGAGAGATGCAGAGACAGATAGAGAGAGAGATGGACAGAGAGAGATGCAGAGACAGATATAGAGAGAGATGGACAGAGAGAGATGCAGAGACAGAGAGAGATGGACAGAGAGAGATGCAGAGACAGAGAGAGATGGACAGAGAGAGATGCAGAGATAAATATATTAAAAAGCAACAGCAGGTCACAGCAGCAGAGGTATTGTGTATCTCTCAGTGAACGTGTGGTTCCACTTACGGCGTTTCCAGCATGACTTTACACACACTGGCCATCGTGCTTAAGACGTCTGTTGTGTTCTCAATAGGAAGGTTCTTGTTCTTCAAAATAAAATAAAAAGAGGTATCCGGGTTCAAAACGTGTCTTAAAAACATGGGATTTCTCAAAAAAGCAGCAACGCGGACGTTTACCTCGGAGACAAACTTGGTGGTGCCGTCGCTCATGGTCTTCAGCATGGGCGTGGCGTCAGCGTAGAACAGAGATATCCGATTGGCCAGCTCGTTGTTGACCTCGTTCTCTCCTTCAGCCTGGTAACGAGAGAAAAACCAAGCCGCATTTTATAACATATACATTCAATTCAATTATCTTTGTTTACACAACTTCAACAAGTCACAGACATACTAACTCCTGAGGGTTGTGAGTGGTGTTTAAAAAGGGAACTCCCAGGAAGCTGCCTTAGCATTAGCATTAGCAAAACAATAATACATTCCTAGACCAATTTCGAAACATTTGACCCATTTACACTTCCTAACATTGGAGAATATATGGTTAGTGTCACGAGGTTTTGTTTTATTGAACAGGGTTTAAAGTCTCACATTTTCCTTTGGGCTTTTATCAAGGTCACAAACTCATGTTCATATATTTTTGTATGAATTTAAAGAGATAGCGCTCAATAAAATCATTAACATTTCCACATTTAGCAGCAGTTAAATCTCCAAGTCATAAAACAGACAGTGGATCGGTTTTGGTGGAGCATTGGCCTCGATCTTTGGGTTCGATTCCCCCCACGAGACGTACTCTAATCGACTCCCACTGACGTCTGCTGCCGTTGAGTCCCTGGGCAAGACACTTCACCCCACTCTGCCTGAAGCCCCCGCTGAAAGACCCAGGCTGAGAGGCTGCTATGAGAATCAGGTGGCAGCTCAAAGCCAGACCCAGAGAAAGATTAATAAATGTGATGAAAGAGCATGAATGAAAAAGCACCATCAAACCACTTCAAGGCTTGTTCAACTCTGTACGGTTCAAAAACGATTAATCGATTACGACATTTATTAACTTCAATAAATGAGCTTTTCTATTAATCCAAACTAATCATAATGAGAGGATGGACTTGGTTATTTACATCTGTGCACCCCTCAGAGCTCGTTTCTCCAAGTGGAAAATACCTGAGCAAAGATAATTGTTAGATGTGCAGTAAAAGGCACTTGCAGTAATGGGAGTTGGCCATGTGTGTGTTTTACAGCCCAATTAGCATACATTACACACCTACACACACACACACACACACACACACATACATACACAATCACACACACACACACACACGGCGCTCTGAACTACAGGGAGCACTGCTGACATGCATCTGGGCTGAAAAGTAAGTTTACACCAACACTGGACAAAAAATATGTAAACAACAATTTCTTTAAGAAGTGGTGAAGATCCACGACACTCGACGTTCAACAACAAGGTAGAGATATTTATACTTATATTTATACTATCATACGAAACTCAGATTTTGTACTACGTAATTCTGGCCTCTTCATTTTGCTTAAGTTTGACATTATAGATTTTAGTTTCCTTCCTAAAGCTAGAAATTTCATTCTATTTTTTTAGTATCGAGCTATTGTTCATTTATCTTGTGTTGTGTGCTCCTCATTCCTACTGTTCTGTAACTGTGATGCAACACTGAAATTTCCCCACTGTGGGACAGATAAACGATCTCTTAATCTATATTTATGGACATTGGTCATTTGCCCCTTTTGGACCAATGGCTTGCTCTTGTGTTTGGTTCTCTGATCTGTATTGGCGAAATTATCATCATCATCATCATCATCATCATCATCAGCAGCAGCAGCAGCAGCAGCAGCAGCAGCAGCAGCAGCAGCAGCAGCAGCAGCAGCAGCAGCAGCAGCAGCAGCAGCAGCAGCAGCAGCACCCCACTTTGAGAACCACGGATGAAAAACACCTTTCAAAGAACAGCCTGTGCTAAATTTGTCTGCATATTTTAACGCCAACAATTCTTTGTTTTTGCGAGAACACTGACGGAATAAGAATAACCCCCTAAAATGTTCAAGCGATTCGTGTTTTAACAGACAATGACAACGAGCTCAAAGCCGGCGTGCGGTGGGACGGGAGCGTTTCATCTGCGCGTGTGGCTGCGGAGGGGGTTCGGCGTCTGGATCCGTCTGCGAGGTCCCGTTTCCCAACGTCTGCCACCTCCTATTTACCTAATGGTGTCGTTTAGAGTAAATGCCTCCCACGGGCGATTAAGAGACGCACAGAAAGTGAAGCACACGTGTCTGCTCTGTGTCCTTGGAGAAGTGGATGGAGAGAGGAAGAGGAGGAGGAAGAGGAAGAGGAGGAGGGGTACCTAAGAGAATGGACCATAACCTACTAGAAAGAGCAGTAGGGATTCAAGGATGAGAAGGAGGAGAACCTGAGAGAATGGACCATAACCTCCTACTAGAAGGAGCTGTAGGGATTCAGTGATACAGAGGAGGAGGAGGAGGAAGGTCCCTCAGAGAATGGACCATAACTGGACGGAGCATTAGGGATTTGGGGACACCACGACACAAGCCACATTCCTCCAGGCGGGGCCTCTCTATGTGGAGTTTGCATGTTCTCCCCATGCCTACGTAGGTTTACTCCGGGTGCTCTGATTTTCTGCCACTAAAACCGTGTACAATAGGTCTGGCATGTGCCTCCTGTAACAATTGTAAGCGCTTTGTGTCTGTAAAAGGTTACATAAACAAAAATATGGCTTATTACTTATTTAAGCTGGAGCCATGTTCCAGCTTCTTCCCTCTGGCTGATGCTAACTGCTCAGTCCGAACGAAGCGCTGTAAAGATATTGCACTTCTTCCCACTCCCTTTCAGGCCAAATTGTTTCTTTGATTTTGTTATTTTCATGATAATAGCAACTGATTCTCCGTGTTTGCCTCAATAATACTTGAACCGTTTTTGATGATAGATTTCACAGTGACAATTGTTTGTTGTACTTTTTAGCTTGTTTTATGTTATATATATGTGTAGTGCACACTGGGGGACTTTTGCACATGTGTTTCAATGTGTTTTTTGCTGAAAATGGTAAATAAATATGTATATGTGTATGTGTGTATGCATCAAACTGAAATTTCCCTATTGTGGGACAAATAACGGACCTTCTTCTTCTTTAAGTGAATCTGAATCTTGCCTGAGCACCACCAACCTCCCTTCCCTCCACCATGACTGCCTCCCACTACACATCACCCAGAGGCAAAGAGGAAGTGTGTTGCTCAATGACATAACAGCACAATGAATGAGCAGCGCTACACGTCACATAGATTGCTCCGATAAACTCGTTCACCCGGTGTTGAGATAACCCGCTGACCTCCACGGCGCAGGTCCCAGTCGCCGCCGCCGCTGACCGAAGACGTCACATTGACCTCAGAATGAAATCACGATCTTATATAATCCATGTAATGATCATCACTTCTGAAGGTCCCATTTGTCAGCTTTGATTTGACAGGATTACAGCCCGACACGCTTCACACACAACCGCCATGTCGTTAATCAACCGCCGCTCACTGCGACGCGGGACGGAGTTTAGTCATCGAGATCATCTTTCCTGGTTAAAACAGCGCCCAACTTTAGAAACGGGGGGAAAAAACTATGTAAAAGTGTGTAACTAGTTCCTTGCCCTCAAAATGGTTTGGTTGCATCACTAGTTTTCACATGTTTTATTGATCTCTGTTTGAAAAAGCTGAAGAGGTGACAGTCCTGACTCAACCAATCAGCTCTCAGCAAGAAAAAGTAAGTAATCATTATTTATAAAGCGCCTTTCACAGACCAGAGTCAAGATAAGATAAGACACGAGATCCTTTTTTTGTCCCACAGTGGGGAAATTTTACACTTGTTGCGGGCAAATGTCCTCTCACCACTGCATTTATGTGCAATTAAAAAAAAAACAGCTCTGTGGTCTATTTTTACTCCAAAATGTTACTTCAAGAAGATTTGGTTCCTCTGTCCTTAACCTACTCCGAAGACAAGATGAACATTCCTAAAGTGTTCAACAAAATATAATTCTGAAACAAGTTACTCCAGCTTTAAATAACGGTAAAACCAAACCAAACAAAAGCTCGTGAGCAGATCTCTCCCTGAGGTTTCTCTCATTTTCTCCCACTGGGTTTTTGAGTTTTTCCATAAACCGATACATATATACACATTAACAGACATTGGTCACCATTAGTTTCCTGCGAGACGACTGCTGTTGGGATCTAGGTCTGAACAAATATTGTGGCTGGATATAGAGACGACAGCATTAACCCGTGGCCGTGTAGAAGTGCGGGATCTAAAATGCACAGCTCTATTCTTAGACATCCGTGTTACATAAGACACTGGACGGATGAACACGGAGCATTCCAAGAGGACGTGCAACTGGAGATGGGAATGTGCTGCCATTTCAAACCTTTTCTTTTGATTTTACGACAAACTGATCGAAAAACTTGCCGCTTCCAGGATTCATGAAAACCCGCCGTTCTCTGGACTAATTGAGTTTAGTAGTCAAACGGATTCATTTTTCGGAGAACCAAAACAATCAGTCAAAAAGAACAATAGAGTAATCTGTAAAAACACAAAATAATTGATATGAAAAAATGTGAACAGTCTTACCGGGACATTGTTGATTCGCATTCGACTCAGCGTTCTCCTGTAGTAGCTGAAGTCGTTCTGAATGGCAGGGTTCGTCATCTGTCAAAAAGGAAAAGACACATGTAACCGAGACCGGAGAGAGACGAGGGATGCATTCACCGAAGTCAACTGAGGCCTTTAGTTTCACCGCCGGATCAGGAGAATGAAGAAGGTCAGTTTATACGAGGGTTAGTGCTGTGACATAAGAGATCAGATTTGACATGACATTTCCTGAATCTTCAAAAAATGATCCAGGTTTTCAAAAATGTACCGTTTTTTCCCCTCTGGATAAATGGCAGTAAGTGTGGCCTCAGGATCATGGACATCACGATTGTTAAGTTATTCACTCTTTTACAGTGGTTTTCCAAAGAATTTGATAGAACTGATAATTGATGCATCTTAAAATGTGTCTTATGATTAATAAATAAAGTTGTTCAGAACATATTTATCTCAGGACGTCCTCCTGAATCAAACAAACAAATGAACCCCAACAAAAATCATTTAGTTAGACAATTCTTGTTTTTTCTACTGCACTGTTTTGATGTAAAATCCCATCTCTCGGCCGTGTTTATCGAGCAGTTGACAATAATCCGGATATTAACACATTTGTTGATTCATAATGGACCCGAGCCTGATGTCTGGATCCATTATGTTGCATTTTGTTCTGATTGCGTTTCTCGGACTCATAATTATCTCATTGTCAAAGCAGCCGTGGCTTTGATTATTCCAGATTCCTAACGACTATGTTCAGGATTTTAGTAAGTAATCTATAATTTATCATATGCCAATCTATTGAATATCTTTCAATGATTGTGTCATTATCAGTCTCCTGCCATTCACCTCCAAATCCAAGATTGATTCTTGAAAAAACTAAAACGATAACTGCAACATCCTCAGTTCATACCTTGGTTTCTCTTATTAGAAAGAGAGAGGGAGGGGTCCGTTTGCTTTCATCTTGTGGACAACGATTCATGTTTGACCGGTGACAGTTTATATAGTTTGATTTTCTAATTTAGTACTGGCAAATCAACTATTTTGTTGAAAAACCTCAAGGTCACCGTTGCAATCTACAAAAATGTATTTGAATTATGAAAATTGGTGGGGATTTTTGTTCGCAGCACTATCTAAACCATGACACCACCACTATAGACATGCGTTAGAATGTTTGATTCTAGATGTTTTATTAGAGAGAAAAAGTGAGTGGAAAAGCTTCCGAGTCTGGGTAGAGAACTGGATGGAGGACGGTGTGAAAGGGCTGAAATTGCATTCTCATTAAGAGTACAATAAAACCGTCTAAATGGTGCAATTCCGCCGGTCAATCACAGAAACCATTTTGTTCGAGTCTGCAAACTTTTATCTTTCACTTAGGATCATTAGTGCACATTATGAATCCATTGGCCTCAACGCACAGCCACATGCCCGCTGGTGACAGCTCATCATCGGGCTAATTATCCCCAATCCCGCTGGAGCCTGTCAAAGCCCAAGTCCCGGAGACGGCCTGGTAATCCCGCCACAATGGAGGGGTGGCGAGGCCTGGTGCCCACGCCCGGGTCCGCAAGACGTGGTCAAAGAATCTGGGTCAAAGCAGGTGTTAAAGACTGAGGGATGTGTCCTGGCACGGCAGCCTCCCCCTCTCCCCCTCTCCCCCTCTCTCCCGGCAATGGTGCGCCTCAGTCTGGGGCGAGGGACGCTAATTGGGACGCTGTTGCTGCGAAAAACCCCCAAGGGCAGAGTGAGGGGACTTTTTTGGGGGTGCGACAGCAGAGAAGAGTTCAGTCAGAGTCGTGCGTGATCATGATTTTTGACACCGGGGCATTCAGGCGTCGCTCGGGCTGGTGATTTGTGGGTAAAACACGTCTGACCTCTTGGATTCTGTTTGTGAAGACCCGAGTCTGTTAGAACTATTATTTTTACTGGCAGTTACAAACCATTATTTAAATTGGATAGTAATATGTAATTTTGTCGTCAGCCAGTGTTGGGGTGAGATGCTAGAGTTCTGTTGCTAACATAATTCTGAGGCCTGTGACCGTTTAAGGAAATAGATTCTAATCGGGGCAGTAACTAACATTTTGACAATCTTTCAATCAAAAGAATAATGGCCCAAATTAATGTGTTGCTTGGATACAAACAGGGCTGGGAATATTGGACAATTTATACAAATACATTTTCGTTGAGAGACTAGTTACACATGGGTCTATGTCTGGTTCAAAAACACCAAATTACGAACAAAAAATATCAATGTATGTTTTGATGCCATCCCAACCTCTATATTTCTGTCCGACTTATGGACCAATCACGGCCCTCTTAATGTCATGTGGTCCACTGCAGACTCAAAGTGCCAATGAGATCACAACTTTTCTGTGTCATCCATCCTGAATCCAGTCATTGACAGTTTGACATTGGGTTTTAATATGGTGAAAAAGTAAACATTTGTCATTCAGCCAAATACAGCCAAAATAATGTTATAACACTGTGGGCACTTGCTAAAAAAGTGTGGGCTCCAGACTGTGTGGGATATATTCACTGCACAAAAACAATTAAGATTCTTTAGTCAAATTGTTTTATGCAAACCCTTCATCTTACACAATAAGCAAAACAGCCGATTATAATCAAACACTAATTACCCACTCACTCACAGCTGCAAAGTAAACCAACCAGATGAGCAACATCGATGTGTGTGTGTGTCTATGTATGTGTGTGTCCTTAGGGCACTTGTATATAGTTGTGGCAAACAGAGCTGCCACCGAATTCTCATAGCATCATGTGTATTTGTGTGCGTGTGCGTGTGCGTGCGCGTGTGTGTGTGTGTGTGTGCGTGTGCGTGTGCGTGTAAGTGTGTCAGTCCCCAGTCAGACGTCCCAGGTCCAGACCCCAGACTTACTTTGAGCTCGTCGAAGCGCAGAGTGAAGTGCAGGATCTCGGCGAACTGCTTTGCCAGCGCCTGCTCCCGCTCCAAGTGCTGAGTGGGGTCGTCGTAGGTCTCGCTGGTCAGAGCTCCCAGGAGGCTGTGCAGCGCCGCCTCTGCACAAAGGGAGGGGGATTATAACATATATATTAAAGTCCATACATTAGGATCACTATGTATATGTGATAGATGGAGTGATGGTGCAGCGATATGATTATGGGGCGGAAATGGACCACGCCAAAGGTCTTAAGTCAGAGGGAAAAGTGCTTTATGCAGGAGAATGAGGGGTATCAGCACCGCTCTGCATTTAGAGAAAGCATTATACAGCCAAGATTAGCTGATCGTGACAAAGGGGCCGATTTATTAATGAATAAATCACTGACAAAAAAGGGAAAGCATAGTAAAAATCAATAGCCCAATATTTCATGATCATTTTTTGTTTCAAAAGGCAGAACAAGAGACATGTCGGAGAACCAGGTTTTATAGCTAAAAAAGAAACAACTGGTGGTTATGTATTAAAAAAGGCATCGCAAGTCAAAGCTAGAGTCATGTTTTTGTCCCAACAGAAAGATTAAGTATTATTTTGTAAACAAATCAGCCCACAACATGCTGTCTTCTTACAAAATCTAATGAACATCATACATGTTACATACCGAGAACTAATTGGCAGATTGAGGGCTGTTCAATTCTTTCACAAAAAAAGAAAAGAAAATCATATCTAACATGTGACAGAGGCCAAAACTGAATGCGTGTGAAAACTAGTTATAGAACCAAGCTGTTTCAAGAGCGAGGAACTAGTTGTGGTAGATTTTATTAAATAGTTATTAATTTTTGGTTAAAAAAAACAGGTACTCCAGCTTTAACACTGTAGAACCCAGACATAAAAATATCTGTTGTAAAAAAGGATCCGTGCTATTTTTGTGTGAATGGGGATGGGTAAGAAAAACATGGAAAATGGAGATTCAATGACCAAATTTGGCAATGCAGCATATTTGCTTCTTTGGGTTCTTGGGTACATACATTAGTTACAATAGTTCTTTTGGCACACCCTGTGAACTTATGTTAAGGGTGCCACAGGGTTTACCATGGAGACGTGCATGTTACACAGCTAACATACATGTTATTGTATGATATTAAAAATCCATTTGAGATCACAATGAAGATTCAAGAACAGCAGATAAAAGACCAGTAAATGCATTTATTGAATATGAATAAATTAGAGGTGGCAATATTCTTACACTCCCACAACCGAAATGAGTCCATTTGAAAACCAATAATTTGTCAATGAGTTGAAAAAAGGTTCATTCCCACTTTTTTCTCGTCAGTAGAAAGAAGTGATTTCCTGTTGAGAACACGGTGTTCCGGCCGAGATGGAAGTCTGCTGAAATGAGATCATGTGAGGGGTGTGTAGCGTCAGTCGAAGCATCTCGCCGAGGCGCTGAGTGCCCAGGGGCCAGTGCCGCTGTCTGCAGGGCAGGGACCACATACAACAGACATGGCACTAATAATCTCATTGGCATCAAGACGAGGGGGGGAGGGGAGGGAGATTTGAATCAAGCAGGATTATACTCATTGTTTTGACAGTAAGGAAGCACAGGTCTGTGTCTTGAGCCTGTTTGCATGCCTACATCTGTAATTTAACATGCACGAGGACGGCGGCCACGGAAATGAGCAAATAATGACACCAAACGCTGTGAACAGGCTCCAAACCGTCTGTATTAAAGGACTAAGATGTCTGGTCCAAACAGTTAAATGTGAAAGCCGCTGGTGCCCACAGGGAGGCTGTATTTATAGATGCAGACAGTGCTCAGAATACAGTCTAGACACACAAAAGAAGCTTCGTGACATAACTCAGCTGCAGATCAGAGGCGGAAAGATGGGCATTAGAGCGATATTAATCCAACTTTACACATTCTCTTCTTATATGATGAATAATGAGCAGGAGAGAGGGCTCGCCCCGAACAGCACTTCAGAAGAAAATCAAATGTTTTACAGACAGAGCTGGCGCTGCACTACAGTAAATTGAGCCCGTTTGCCACTCAATAATGACTCCCATCTGCTTACACAGCATTTGTACTGAGACTGATTACCAATGTCCTTAGAAGAGCATGTTTTCAGTGGCTTGGTAAAAACAGAAAGCGAGACGCCACGAGGCTGAAGTGTCTGGTGGAGAGCGAGCCGTGAGGCAGCGACATGTCCCCTCTCATCAGGTCACACACAGCTGGTTCACTGTTGGGGGCAGACACAGTTCACTTGTATAGAAGTCTATATTCACTTCCCATGTACCAGAAGTGATAGTGGGAAGGAGGTCACCGCAGAGAGAAGCTGCAGGCCTCAGCCTCCAACAACTACAGAAAGTAAGTAGTTCTAAGTCTCAAAGACTCTTTACAAGTTTGTGGATTATTCGTTCATGTCACGCACAATGGCTCTCGAGGGTTTTAAAGTTAAAACCATTAAAAGTATATTCTGTGCAAAGAGGATCACGTAATTGTCTGGCAACAACATCTCGGTGGTCTATAGGTTAGTACAGTCATCAAGCTCAGCCCTGCCCACAAGACTTATCCACAGATCAGACATGACAGCGACAGAGGAGCCATCATGGGTCTGGAGGCCGAGTCCCGGCACAGACCCAGGGCTGCAGCCTGGCTGCCCTGACCTACTTCATTCTCGTTACATAACAGGCGCACGCCGCCGTCCATTGACTACCTTGTTTTAGTGCTACTGGGATTACGAGCGCCCAAGCATGGCAGACGTCACCCTCACACCCCCCAGCCCCCAAACAGGGTCATAAGAAGATCAGAGACAGTAAGCCTACTACCCCACCCCCCATCTACGCTAATTAAACAATTCTGACCTCATCCTACCGAGGGGTCAATGCACAGCACCGTGGGGGGGCTTATATAATGGTATGCGCTGTGTATGCAATGTGTATGTTATGTGTATGCGGTGTGTATGTTATGTGTATAGCTGTCTGTCTGCTGACTTTTGTGCCGCAGATGCACATGAAACAATTAAGGTCACGTATGGAGGCTATGTCTGCGCTCCCTGACTCTCAGCCGAGGTCGGTGCATTAGTCATGCATTATACCAATAATCAGACTAAACGCTGTATATTAGACCAGTCTCACTTGTTAAAGCAGCTTTGTGCGCAGGGGGTTGCAGAAGAGGAAGCCCAAACTCACCTAATCTCTGGGAAAACTCATAGAATTTCTTCAGTTTCCAGACGAGAGGAACCACAGCGGCCCACGCCTGCTCCTGCAGCGCCTCGTCAGTGGGATTCTGTATGGCCTGAGAACAAAACAAAATAATCAGCAATAACATAATCACTTCATAATGAGAGCGATTGCTTGGGTTTAACCGGGGCACCGTACACTTTCCTACACTCATTAAGTATATTCACAAGGCTGAAGGATGAGCCCAGAAGAGACATCATCATTATGTAACTCCACTGAGCCAGTTCCAGGAGTAGATGCTGAGCTCGACTTGAAAACCCCACGGCTCCACAAGGGGAGAAAAACATGCTATAGTTCAACTTTCAAACCAAGATGAGAATAGATTGAGATCCTTGGAAGTTTGCAGGAGGTGAAGTGAGATGAATACTGAGGTAACATTAGAATAATCAGCCACTAAAGCCTAGTGTATACTTGCGCGGCGTGGCTTAAGTTAGCGGTTGCGGTGGACCTACGTAAGCACAATTGATGTTATACTGGCGCGTTCCCCTTACGGAGTTTTGAGGAGAATGTTGTAATCCCATAACAAACCACATGAGGGCGATCACACAGGAGCGGTCCCATTTACGCTGCTACTTTGTCCTCTTCAGCACAACAATAGCAAACAAAGCTGTTTGAGCTCATTACACGTGTTTCTACTGTAGGTTTATGTGATAGTTTTATGGATTCATTATTTTATAAGTCATTTCAACTGTGATGCTGTGAATAAAGACACAGTTCTTGTTGGAAACATAGTTATTAAATAGTTTTCAGCACAAACAGCAAAACAATAATAGTGGTAAATATCTGAGACAAACATGAACAATTTACGAGTGCAGGAGGAAAGCACCAAACGCAGCTACGATTCAAACAAAGACAGGAACAGTGCAAAACAAACGACTGCAGTTTATAAGTTATATATATGTTAGATAGTCCACAGTCTCCTGTATATCAGGCTCTGAGCCCAAACTGCTTTTCCTTCAAAGCACAAAGCTCTCTGCTCCATAGTGCCTCGTCCATGTCCCTGCTGCAGCCGCCCCGTGCTTCCTTCCAATACACACAAACGGACCAATCACAGCGGAGATACCTTGCGGCGACCCTTACGTAGTTAGAAAGGGCCTTGCGGTGACCAACGCGTTGCGCAAGTGACGTCACGTCACCTCCGTAAGCTCCGCGCCGCGCGAGTATAAACTAGGCTTTATGGTGTGTTAAAGCGGAGGCTCATGGATGTTGTGAGTAAACACACTAAGTTTCCCATGCATGTACTTTTGGCGTGTTTGGTGTTTAGATTTGTCAGAAATAAGAAATAGGACCGCCATCCGTTAATCAGCTCTCAGACCAAAGCATGACTCATGTTATTTCACTTTCACAATCATTTCAGTTTTAAAATACAACACATAATACCCAGTAAAAAGTTGGGCAGCCCAGCTTAAGGAAATAGACAGTGAATGCATATTAAAAGATAAAGGTTATATATATTCTCTTTGACAAAATATGCACGCCAACTGTAGAAATAGAGTAGATGTTTCACCATGGACAAACTTAAATTAAAAAATAAGTAACCTAAAACATATCACAATGGCAATGTTATGTGTCATGTGGAGAAATAGACAGATGTTTCTTTTTTTTTTTTTTTACAAGAAAAACTTTTCAAAGGAAAAAGCAGCACGGCCAACAACCCAAACTCTGACATTGTGCAAAGAATTGTCCTGGATGAGTGTAGCATGTTTTTGCTGTTCAAATCCCTGTTTCGGGTTGGTGCCCAGAGTCAGGACTGAACATGGGGAGCGACAGTAGCTCAGTTGGTAGAGCATTGGCCTTTGAGCCTGAAGGTCGTGGGTTCGAGCCCAGCACAAGACTTTTTTTCACCGACTCCCACTGATGTCTGCTATCGTCGTGTCCTTAGGTAAAACACTTCACCCCCATTGCCTAGAATGAGTCTGGTGTGTGTGTGTGAATGGTTGGTGGTGGTCGGAGGGGCTGATGGCACATACTGGTTGCCTCGCTTCTGTCAGTGTGCCCCAGGGCAGCTGTGGCTACAGTAGTAGTTTATCACCACTGTGTTTGGAGTGAAGGAAGTGTCCAAAAAAGCGTTATATAAAACTGAAGCATTATTATTGCTATCAATAATGTTGTGTATGATTGATTCTTTTTGTTTTGTGTAGGATGAGAATCCAGACCGTTGTTGCTGCTGTTCCATCTACCAGACCAGGACTCTCAGACTGTGATTTTAGTGCCCCCTAGCGGCAACAAAGGACTACACACATTCCAAACTTAAGTGTGCTGTATATGCAACTAAAATGTAAACCTGCATCTCTGTTGTCATTAATCTTTATTGAAGTGTGAGTCACGATGTCTGTTGAAGTGTTTGTGCTTTAAACAATTGTGTTTAATATGTCTCATGCCCAGAAGTTCCTGTGTTGTGAAAAGCCGGAAACAGGAAGTGACTACAACGTACCCGCCCCTAAGACTGGAGACAAAACCAGTCTGAATGCAGAGCGCGCTCTCTTGAATTTTTGGCCTTCTTGCTCTCCTCGGCTTTTCGTCTCTCCTGGGTTTCGGCCCTCACGTTCTGTGCCCGCGGCTGGATCCGTGCGTATGAGCTCAAGCAGGCTCGTTTCAACTCCCTGAACTTGCTCAATCAACTGCTTTCTCCCCCGCACAACAACAAGCGGGACGGGACGCGACGCTACACAGCCGAATGCTATGAGACAACAACAAAGGAACTTTTCTGGGATCAAAGCCGGACCACGTGTCCACCAACAAAGAAACTTTACTAAAAGCAACCTTCACACAGTAAGAAGTATCGTTGAATACCGATGTGTTTAAATGTGTCTGCTTTTGGGTTATTGTGCACATTCTTTGAATTGTGACTCACACAGTTTCTTATGCTCTGAGGGTTTTCGTTTGGTAAATAAACAGCTAAGTCTATCAGCCTCCAGTGTTATTAGTTAGTAGTTTGGGCTCTCTGGCGAATAGAAATCACACTTTTAGATATTTATGAGATTGATTTTAAAACCCCGCTTGATTCTTTTAGTTGGGTCTTGAGACTTTTCTTTCCCCCTCTTGAGATAGGGTATCTCTATATTAGTCAAAATTAGACCATTCTTAGAACAAGCTCACCCTTATAAAGGTAGATATAAGGGAATTTCCAATAAGGAATAGTTACGACTGTGTAGATATGTTTTAGATATGCAATGTATCCAAATGCACTGCATCTAAGACGTATATGCATTTAGTTACCCTACATAATGGTGCCCCAAATGAAATTCGTGCATGGTCCTACAGACTGCATAACTTTTAACTCTATACTCTGATAGTAAGCTGTAAACACAGTGCTAAGCTACTGCTAACACGTGCTCCACCAGGCCCCAATCTGAGCACAGCCTTTCTTTTGTTCTCGCTCCTAAAGTACTTTGTCTTATTTTAATGCATGCTTAATAGGCCTAGGGTCTGAGATACAGAGGCGCGAATTCCGCCCTGATTTCTCTCATTTCCAGACCCCTACTGGTAGCTCCACAAGGGATCAGCCTGACTCAATGCTGTGAGAGGCTGTACACACGCAGCCTACACACACAGTAGTCACGGCAACCAAATCGCTTTGCTAACGTGAAAAGCGCAAAGGCAACTATCATAAGAGTTGGCCCAGACGCCTGAGCGCGTCCTTCTGAGTCCCCACGACCCAGACGCCCACTAAAAAAGGATCGCAACCTAATTAGTGGACAACAGAGTTATAGTCTCTGTACAAGCGTGTCACTACACGCATTCCGTCTGTCCGTCCGCTCCTCGAACGGACCGACGCACCCCGTAACTGTGCCCGTTTGTACACAAACGGCAAACCCAGCACATAGAAAAGGGCCACGCAGCCCTTCTCTAACAGTTTTGTAACAAAAAATTTAATGATTTACGCTTTGTACACACTGCGGAATCTATGTCATAACTTCTCCACGTCATTCTTCAGGCATAACCGGAGAAATATAATTGCATTTGACCCGTAAACTTTGAAAAACTGCTCACCGACTCTTTTCCCACGAACAATGCTTTGACTAACATGACTGAATGTGCGTGTACGTTGTACTGATGAATGTGTGATGCAAACTCTGCTGTTGTGCAAATGCTGAACCGCTGCTGTGCAACACGCTACAAGCTATTCACTGGCCAAGCTGACAGTTATTGTACTAACTCTTAATACTGTTTAACACCGCTACAAGCTAGCAACTGACCAGCGCGCTTGTGGTTTGACAAACTTATCCTGACGCACACCCAACTGCCCCAGGACTGACGTCTCCAAACACACGCACACACAACTCTGCTGCACCTCTGCTGTTTAACCCGCTCTCTCCCACGCTGGTCTAAACTGCTATAACTTGTTCGCACTAACCCAGAAGCTACCTGATACATGCTCAAAATCACACCCACAACAATACACATCACACAGCCACCCCAACATGGAAGAGCTGGACCCCTCCAGACCTTTCTGTGTAACTTCAGAGCCAAACAGGGAACAGAATGATGTTGTAATTAACCTTTTACAAACCTTTGCTGCTAAATTGATTCCAGGGACCTGGAACCAATTTGATGGGGCTACGGCCCCAACACTAGAGAGCCGCAGCAGGCCGCACGAGACCTGGCGACTGACGCCACAACAAATGCACTCGAAGGTAAGAACCTCACCCTGTGGCTGGGTAAATTAGCCATACTTTCCCAGCAGTATCTGCAAAAAAGCGATGCTAAAGCTAAGGATCTCCAGGAAAAGATCCAAACCATAGAAAGGGAAAGGGACGCTATCGCGTATGAGTTAATTAAAACTCACAAAACTGTTGCACACCTCAAGGAACAATACCTTCAGAACAATGGGGTCCACCAGCCCGAGCTGTGCACAACCCCACCTTCACCAAAAGTAATACGCCTGGCCGCACAGGTAAGTACCCTCACTAACGGCTCAAAAGAAGACTACTTGTACAGGGTCCCCACAAACGAAGGACCTGAGCCCGCCAGGACTAAGCCCGAAGGAAGTGTGCAGACGTCCACGGAAGACCTCCCACAGGTAAGACATGAATCTCCCCATGTGCAGGAACA